AGCTATTTGATATTGTCTTCGGGGTTTGAAGTCTGTTGTACAATGTAGAATGTAATGAAATACACAGGAGCTGCGTGGCAAGAATACATTTAGCGGGAGATGTTGCAGAGATGTACAATATCATGAACTCCTTCCATCTTTAATTTCTAGAGGGAGAACCATTCAGCCATGTTGTAAATATGATCCAGTCATTATCAGGTCAGCTTCATTCAGTCTTTAGACGTCTCAAAATTCTCAAAGATTACTGCCTTGTGTGGTATCTGCATTTTATCACACCTCCTTTAATCACTTTATAGGATGATATTTGTGCAAAATCAATGAATGAAATTAAAAACTAAAAATAAAGTAATAATACATAATCAAATTGACTGGAGCTGGTGATAAATGTTTAGGGATATGAAGTATAGCTAATTAAAGTATTTGAAACTAACTGATTAAACTTTGTTTCTCATACTAGTTGACACTAGTAATACCTGCCTTGTTTTTTGTTTTTTTTTGGCCTTTTAACTGGCTTTATTGATAGAAACAGAGAAGATTGACAGGAAAGCGTAGAGAAAGAAAGAAGGAAGACATGCAGCAAAGAGCCACTGATTGCACTTGAACCAGGGCCGGCTGCTATCAGCCATGCGGTATATGGGCACCTGCTCATAACTGAGCTGAACCAGCGCCCAAAACCATCTTCTTTAGCTAATTATTAATATCATCAATACACAGTAATAGTTAACTATCCACTGCAATGCAACTGTTCCAGTAGTAGGTTATAAATGAGGAATGTGGATTGTGTAACAGGTGACATCTTATAAAAGCAGCATAATTTAGCATAATTTTGATGTAATAAATATGGCTGTGTGCATAGACGGGCATAAAAACCGAAGGATTGTGTGAAAGCCTAAGTATTTTATATTTTGCTAACACAGAGACAGACTTTTTTAAAAAGATCTTGAGCAATAATCCTGCAAGCTTTGTGATAGTCTTTCAAAGTTTTTCTTCAGACAATGGCTGCTTTTTCACTTCTTTTCAATCCAGTCCTCGTACCTGACCATTTTCAGCCATATGTTTGTTTGTTAAGCCACTTATCCCTGATCCATGAAATATGTTGTTCCCATTTAGTTAAATATATTATACATGAGTTAAAAAGGCATAAAATATCATTTTTGCACCAAGAATGTGAATCCCAAACAGCTATTAGCTGAAAACGTGACATGACATGCATGAATGGTGTGCAGCGTGTTCTTAAAAAAATATGAGGAATCTGGACAATGAGAACAGCAGATGAACAGCATCTGTTCTCACAGAAATAGAAAAAAAATACAGCCATGACAGAGAGCCAAAGAGATCCATTTGGCCTTTCAGTTGATCCATCTACTGCTTGTGGATAAATGGCTGTCAAGGAGTCATTCTGAAGTCTTTATTTTAGAAGCGAGACAAAATTTTAGAGAAAAAATTCAAACAGTTCTGGAAAGAAGAGAAGGCTAGCTTTATGGGGATATTTAGTGTATAATGGTAGCACAAGGTATTCACAAGGTACTACTGTCTTAAAATGGACAAAAAGAAACGAGCTCTGCCTAGATTTTACCTTGTGCTCTACATATTACCATACTCCTTAACCATTTTGTGCTAGAGAAATATTTAAAATGGTTCCTCAGAGATGAGCATTTTCTTTCTTTTTGCATTTTACAACCAAAATCCAAAGCAAAATTTCTTGTTGTTGAAGAAATTTGCAATTTGATGTAAGCATTTTAGATATTAAACATGTCATACCTCCTGTTTACAGTAAATAGCTGCAAAGCACAGAAATACTTCATTAAAACTTTAGAGTGAAGTCAAATTAAGAAACAAAAGGAGGCTTTTTCTATGGACATTCTCACTATTTGCTCTCTTTTCCCTCTGAATTTTAAGCCTTAAGGAGTCACTATGTATCTGCGATTACTATTTGAGCTGCAGCTCTGAGGTGCTGACCTCATGCTGCCTCCATTCTCTGTGTTACTCACATTTGTGTCTGTCCCCAGGGCTCTTCGTCTAAAGAGCCTCGACTGAAGAGGCAGGCGGGCCAAGCACAGTATGGCGGGGTTAGACCTGCCCTGGAGAAATCTTTACAGCGACCTGATTTCACTCAGTTGCTCCCCTTATTCCCCAGATCTCACGCTCATATTCACCTGATCCTGTGTCAGAGCCATTTTGGGTGGAAAAACTTCTTTAACAACAGTTAAACTAGAGCAAGATTTCAGAATCCAGTGATTGTTCATGTGCTTCAGCCACAGTCCTTGTCCACGAGATCTTCGTTTCTGTTTAATCTAGCACATAATTTCATTCATTGTTCGAAATCATCTTTCGTAATGTCTGAGAGATCTGATCGTGACCATTTTCACGAATCGCCCTCAAAATTGCACATTTTCAGTATCAGCCCAAAAGCAATGTGTTGAAAAGAATCTCTCATCCCAGCTTGTTACATGTATCTCACAGGGATCTGAATTAATATTAGCGATTGGTCCCCAAGTCACGTTCATCCCCATCTTTTCACTCTAGCATCTGGATTTAATTGGTGCTACGCCGTAAAGCCACAGCTGCTCTTCCTGTTAGAACAATAAATTATCCCAATTAGGAGTTGAACAAAAGAGGCTGTCTGACACAGCAGCCCACTGCCATGCCTAGAGATTGGACTGCGATGGAATGAGGCTTCTCGCTGACATGAAGCCGCAACAAAACACCTGCCCCATCATATCTCTGATCAAAATACAGTTCCAGTCCAGGGAATATATAGAACAGGAAGAGACTGCTTTGCATGACTTGCAAACACGAGAGCTTCTTGTATATAAATTAAACAGAAAAAGAATCACTGTGTTCGAAATCAGTGAAAGGTATATTGTGTAATTGCTGGGCGGATGATTAATTGGTGTTTGGATGATGGGTTGTGGATACAGCCGGGTTTTCTGGCAGCTGCCTTCCATATTGATGGCACCAGTAATGAAGGCAATATTGACGTAGGGTTCAGAAAGATGTGGAATGGGAGGAACAATAGGAGCATCTGTGCCTCTCAGTAGTTACGAGTATAATTGAGACCATATTTTAGCTTGCTCTTTGAAAACTAGCCTTACTGTATTTACCATCTCCTTCCCTGACAGACGAGACATATTTATTTGCCACTGTGTCACGTTCAGGAGCTTTGGCAACTCGGGCGATCTACCGTTTAAAAGAATGTAGGCTATCCACCACTACGATGGCGGCCTGTGTTGTGATTGACACAACTTCCACATCCTGGCCTGGCCACACCATCTCTTTGTCTCACCACTTGCTGTGAACATGCCATTAAGCCAGTCGAAGTTTGACAAGAAAAATGAAGTGTGCCGGTTCCTGTGGCCTCGAGTGTCTCTCTGAATAATGAGCACATTGCCTGTACCCCCCTGTCTCTTCCACTCTGTGCCATCAGTTTTACTCTTCCCCTTGAAGTTCTAGTCTGCTGAGAGAGTGAAGGGGTCTTTAGGTTGTCGCGTGTCCAGGAAAAAAAATGTGGTCATGCAAATCTGTCAAACTAAATCTGTAAAACCCAGAAAAGAAGCGTATGATGAATGAAGTATATTTTTATTGATATAATTCCCCCATTCCATTTCACGGCATTAGGACGGGGAGTGCTGTTTCGTAGGAGCTGTCCAATATGAGGGAGCGTCATGAGATGTCGCAAACAGCTGCAATTTTGCGAGCCAAATTAGCTGGCACTGTTTTCCTTGTTGACTTTATTTCGTTGCTTTTTAAAACACAACAAACGGCTGAGCAGCGCTGCTGGATCATAGCGTCATAGCTGCCTTGCACAGCAAACACTGAGAAGAAAGGGCAGCTCCACTGCTACTTCCTTACCCAGCCTTATTTCTCCCAATTACCAGCGTGTGAGCAAACAGTATGACATGACTGACCTCCTCTCAGAGAGCTGTGGTCATGACTGCGAGGCTCTCTCAGCTTATTATGACAGAAGTGTTATGGTAATAGAAGGAAAGTCTGTGCCGTGGCGATAGCACCTCAGGAGCGGATAGCCTATTATCCTCCACTGTGTAGTGGTAGTAATGGTGAGACAGAGGGCATCCTATCTGTTATGGTGATGATGCATTTTGAATGGGTAGTGCCTATTATATATCAGTGGATGATAATGCCAGGAAAGAGCATCCTCTGGGTATGGTCATGATGCCAAGAAATGGGTGAAAGGGTCTGAACAGAATATACAATGTGCCATATCAGGTTTATGGTGATAGATTAAAGAGAATGGCAGGATCTTTTTTTTTTTGGAGTTATGAAAATTGGAGGCTAGCCCCTGTGTTAAAAGACCGTGAATATCCAGGGAAAGGAAGACAATGAGGATGTGTGTACGTGTGCATACGACAAACAAGAGCCACGCAGTCGAAGGAGAATCTTAGTTAGCTGTCTGCTTGGCGCTTCGCCGCCCCTGTGATGTATGTTTATGGCCCATCATCTCTAGCCAATTACCCTGCCTCAGTGTGGGAGCACCGCACCTTCTCATCACAGCCGTCAGGGTCTGACTGTAGAGAGACACGGTGACAGTTAACGTTCCTGGACATCTCCTGGCAAAGTGCTGTTTTCCTTAGGGGACTCTTGAGATTCATCTTTAAAAGTAAGCCACTGGGTAACAGAGTGTGTTGAGCCCTATAGCTGCTTTGGGAATTGAATGCTTGTTTATTGTATGTATGTTTGTGTGTGCATACATGCGTGTGTGTGTGTGTGTGTGTGTGTGTGTGTGTGTGGACGGTGGGTGGGGGGTGCTAACGCATGTGTCTGTAGGTGTGCATGAGTGCTGTGTGGGTGCTGTAAGTTGGAACAGTATCTTTGTAAACTTTGTAAATCTCATGTTTCCCACGCACTCCTGTTTCCATCATTATGGCATTATAGGATATGTGGATAACTCACTGCTCTCTATATTGATGTGTGCATAAGGCTACATGCTGTAAATGATGTGTGAAATAACCTTGGCATTTTGGGTGTCTTTGTTTTTCCAGATATAGCTGAGGTAGACGTGCTCATGTATCCCGTCCATGTCAACCTGCAGACTTTCTCCTACAGACACATCTGACTTTTACAAGGTATGTTTAAATGCCTTTTTTGTTTTTGCATGTGTGTCGCAAACCTGCTTTGTGCTTGTGTCTAGTCATAGTAAATGTAAATCCCCTGCAGAGCAGTGACATTAGAAAAGGTAAAGCAAATCAGACTCACAGCTCAGGAGCAATGAAGGCTAATTTAGTTTTAGGAGAAATCTGAAACATTTTTGGGAGTGCTTAAACTTTGTTTCGATGATTCCTTTGTAAAACTGAGAATGCACAGTGACAAGAAAAGGATTTGCAACGATAATATTTATTTATTTATTTTTGGCTCCATATTCATACTGTATGACAGATTGAAGCTGCAAAGCTGTGTTTGCGTTGGCTAGACTAAGGAGCGCTTCTGCCCAGAGGGTTTATCAGGGAGAGAAAATATTGACCGCGAACAGTTGCACTTTGGTGGTGTTATTGCTTTTCACACTTGTGTGATACAGACAGCAGTCGCCAAGTACAACAATTGTAAACCCGCAGCCATATCAACGGTCGTATTGCTCTTCTGTACGGGACAACATATTCCACTTGTGGTGTTTACATTTTAGTTTATTTCACTGGAGTGCATTTTGCAGATAGATGGTGTACGATTACAGGAACCTGGGAAAAAGAAAAGGAAGTACTTATTGTTTAGGTGAAATGCAAAAACCCAAAGTGGCCTCTTAATTTGATTCTGAAATATGAATGCAAAACAACGTGACAAGACAAACCTGTGTTTGTGCACATGTGGTGTGATTTTCCATTAATATATACTGGGATTTCACTTGTTAACCCTTTAAAACCTGTCGGAGCGGGCA